CACACTGTCCCTTTATGACAAACATGTCAGTAACACCTAACCAGTATCCTATAATAGGCATTGAAACATTGAAGGGGGGGCACTCCCTAGTAATAGGCTTGTGGGGATGTGCTGGCATATTTACGACTTCACTGACAATAGTGGAGTAGCATTTTCAATAAAGTTACTAGAATGGGGTCTCACATTTTCAAGATTTTGGTTGTAAGAATATTAATTATTACCAGAATTATTCTGGTAAGTTGGGATTTAAAAGGGTGACCTACTTAAAAGGCTTTATAAGGTAGATGTGTAAACATAAAATCACTTAGTTGGGATTTCAACAATTAAATTTGCCCATGAGTGACTAAGATGGGGTCTATTATTAGCCACAGAATAGACCATAATAGGGTAGGGGGTTCTTAGAGGCCAGCAGGACATACCCAGCACAAATTTAATCTTCAAGGATGCTTTCAAATTGCCTGATTTGTTGTTCTATGCAAAGAAAATCCTATTGTTAACACGCATTTTATTTTTACTTTTGGCAAAGTGAATGGGGATTTGCTTTGTCAATCAAAGAGAATTCCTCACTGAGACAAAGTGACCTACTTAGTCTCCATGGGCTGGGGATAGTGTTCTCCCATTTCTTATGCAAAGTCAAAGATCTGCTCAACACAGAAAGACAGTTAAATTTCTTAGCATCCCAGATGAAGACTGAGGAAGAGACTTAATGGGTGAAGCTGGCTCCATTCTAGGTTAAAATTAGTCACCCATCTCTTGTACAGAGTTCAAGATCAGTTCAACGCAGTAAGACAGTCCAGTTTCCAAAACAGTTTTCACACACTTCTCTTTGTTTTTTGGTGGACCAAGTCTTAGCATCCCAGGTCAAGACTGAGGAAGAGACTTTATGGGTGAAGCCAACACCATAGTGGGTCAGTTATCAGTCACCCATCTCTTGTACACAGTTCAAGATCTGTTCTGTGCAGCAAGACAGCCCAGATTCCAAAACAGTTTTCACACACCTCTCTTTGTTTTTTGGTGGACCAAGTCTGATAGCATCCCAGATCAAGACTGAGGAAGAGACTGTATGCATGAAGCCGACTCCTTTGTGGCTCAGCTGCTAGTCACCCATCTCTTATACACAGTTCAAGATCTGTTCAGCACAGTAAGACAGTCCAGTTTCCAAAACAGTTTTCACATTCATTTTCACATTTCAGATTACAGCTACAAGTTCAAACAGTCAACCCAAAGACAGGCTGTAGGGCACCTCATTCAACTATTAGGAAGAAAAAGATGAGACATGGTTAATTAACGTGGACAATTCATGAATCTGATCAAGTTGATTGTTCATAACTACAGAAATGCTTATACATTTAGAGAACATGACAAAGGTGGAAAATAAATTAACATGATACTGAACAATGGTATTTTATGCAGATCTAAAACTAAGTTGCAACCACTGTGAATGCCATCTAATGATAAATATTCACCAGCGAGTAATCCACACTAACATATAAGCTGCACCACGAGTTTGGCAACTTGCAAGTTTTTGGCAAAGAAATCATAGGAAATCCCAAGTGGCGTCTTAATATTAAAAAGCTGTTTTATATTGGTTGCTTCATCAAATTTCACTGTTTGTAATGAGCAACAGATATTTTTCAGTGGTGATTATTAATATCCAAATTCTCTTTTAAAAACATAGGAGGGCAAATTTTATAGAACCAAATTCATCTCTGTCACACAGTAGAAAGTAATGATGAACCTTATACGAAAGAAATATGAGGAACCATAATAAGTTGCCCTTTAAATACCTGCAATCAAGAAATTGCAGCAAACCAAAAGAAAAAGATTCTTTCATGCCATCTAAATCACAGTCACATTACTTTTCTCAGAGAAGATTGATTGGCAGAAATGTAACATTAATCAAATGTAATAAAATGAGTAAAAACATTTCATGCCAAACTGAAAGTTGCATTTTAAATGATAGGTTACAAATCCAAAGAATTTTTTTGTGAACATGAAGACATGTCTATACCCTTCAAATATTGCGGGTAACTAAACAGGCGAAAGGAACAAGGTTAGCGATAGTATTTGAAACAACAAAATCTGATTATCAGGTAATGGCCTCTAATGGTCAAAAACCAAGTGACTACTCTTCTAGGGGAAAATGACTCTCACCCTTAAACGATGACCAAAACAACAAAAGAATAAAGAAATTCTTAATTAATGGAAATACAGTAATTGCAAACTTGTGTTACAGTTACTGTAATAACTAAAGGGACCATCAATGCAGTTACATGCAGTACAATTAAAATACTGTATTTGGATGGTTAGATTCTGCACATTAAAAATGGATGTAAATATATCCTATTAGGTGTATAGTGTTGCTGATTATTAAATGGAAAGGTAGTCCTGAGGGAAATCCATGTGTTCTGATTGGTTCTCATTTGAACCAAATGTGCACAATCCCATAGAAAACCATAGTGAAAGCTGATATGTTTAGGCCTGGACAGATTGACATGAACCAGACCAGAAAAATCAGAACAGCCCTGCAATCAAACACCTTGGTTTTTAAAATCTTAAGAAAAAAAGTTGTGTTTTTCAATGAGCTGTGGGTTTTTTTTGTTCCTAAATAAAAATAATACAGAAAAGTTTTTACTGAAGAATACTTTTTGCAGTTGTCCTGCAAGTGCTTGTCTCTTGCCTCCTATTTAGGTTGACACAAAATTTTTGAAATTTTCAAAACTTAGGGACTTATCAAGCATTTAATCATACGACCATCGTGTGGTCATATGATAAAATGCTTATTGACTCAGTTTGGTCAGGCCAGATGGTAAAATATTTGGCTCTTGGTCATGACACACAAACCATGCTGTGCCCACCTCAAACATCATGACCTCAAACCAAGTATTTTCCTGTCTAACCCTCCCACTCAGTCAACAAGTATAGAACATCATACATGTACATCTCCTTTAGCCAAATGTCAGCTGTCAAGCTGAAATTTTTTTCTCAAATAATGCCTATCAAGAAATGTGTTCAGCCACATTCACCATTATGTAAAGTATTTACAAGCATAATTGAAAATAACTCGAATGTTAAAAAAGCGTCACTTTCTAGACTGAAAAGCTTTTGCGGCAAACTCAGCTTCAGGTGCACATGTTCACCGTAGCCCCTATTATGGAATGGGGAAAGGTATTTGAATATCCCTGTAAGACACTAAGAATTGTGCTTATAGAAAATCACAATAATCCTACAGCAAGAAGCAGATATTAAATGATCCAATATACCCGTCAAGCAGTGTTAAACGTTAATTCCTCACCTCAACAGCTTGCAGCAGCTATTTGCCATGAAATTCTAACGGTCTCCATTTTAGAGTTTTTCAGCCACTTTTGCGCCACATTTCCCACGTAAGTACCATCAAACAGCAGATAAGATAAAATGAAAGATACAAGATGTCTAAAATGCCATTTTTGCCCCTCCAGTGGCATCAGAATAGGCAGTTCTTCCCGCCTTCCACTTGCACTGCAACTCAAAAAGGCCGCCATATTGTGTTTACTTCTTACTAGATCCCAGTGTTTTTCGTTTGTGACGCAATTGCGTTATGCCCCACGCGCAAATACGCGGCAAAGCGCGCGTAGACCTTTCCACTGTTGAGTGCCTTCCCGAGCTCCTGTAATTTTCGATTTTTGAGGAACTTCGTCCGGAGCAAATAAAACAAAGTCTTTTTGAGTTTGAGCACCTAGGTATCCTGAGCAATTTAGTTTTTTTAGCCTTTCGTTCCTCATTTTAGCTCTTAGGGTTTATCATCTTTTAGTGAGGCCGCAATGTCCAAGATGTCCAAGCTCAACTCGCTAGGATGACAAGTGCGGTAATTGTTTTATTCTAAACATTATCAACATATAAGCTTTGTCTTTAATGAATGAAGGCCTTGTGACCCTTTCACTTCATTTATTAGTAACGTAACTTCTGATGTCTATTTCTAGTGATAGGGAGAGAATTGGAGAAACTATCAGCTAGAGGGTGTTCTCTCGATATGATAATAAAGTCCCTGAAAGGGAGAATTCTAAAGGAGTTTGGGAGTTCAACTTTTATAAACAATAACTTATTAATTAGCCTTGTTTCTCTCTCCCTCTTTCAGGTTTCCTTGATGAGACTAAACTGAATTAAATTTATATTATTTTTAAGGGTGGGGTTGGAACACCAGTTAGTAATACTCCGTAATGAGCACAAGTCAATGAAGTGACGCATGAAATGAAAATATAAAAGTAGTAACAAAACCAGCAAAATTCTAAAATAAAATTGCATTTCACTAATTGGAATACATTGTAAGACACTTGCATTTAGTCGTACGTTACAACACATAGTTGCCTGAAGTAGACCTGAAGATCAAACTGTAAATATTCACTTCTCCATTTGAAAACTTACTTATACTGTTTGAGTTTTGCTACTGATAAATTTTAAATCAGTGCATTCTTAGAGAAATTCTGAACTTTATTGTAAGGCATTGCTGGATCTACATCTTTTATGTATACTAAGCGGATTTTATTACAGTCTTTTGTTTCTATTTGAAGTCAATTCAGTTTGGTGTCTATTTTACTATGATTGACAGGAATCTGTTGAATAAATTGGTAGATTAATTTTAATGGATAGACTTTGCATGATGAGTTCTTTTTGAAAATTATAATCAGAATTGACATCCATTTTCATTTACAGTTTCTGTATATGGCTAATTGCAGTGCTCGAAGGATAAATTTGTTTTAAAACCAATATTGCTCGTGTTGCAGTATACTTAAAACGAGGCCGCCAAGACAAGGGAAACAAACCATAACATTATTTGAAGGGCCAACCTCATTTCAAAGATCTCTCTCTCCTTCTGGAGCGAAAGAGAAAGAGAGAAAGAGAGAGAGTGGGCTATAGCTCAACAACCTCTTTTCCAGAGTTCCTCTTCTTCATAATCAAATTTCAAAGATCTCTCTCTCCTTCTCGCCTTCTGGAGCGAAAGAGAAAGAGAGAAAGAGAGAGAGTGGGCGGGTAGAAGAGGAACTCTGGAAAAGAGGTTGTTGAGCTATAGCCCACGTTCAATATCGCTCGCGCGCGGTCTGGGAGGCCGAGCCAAGTATACCTGAACCTCAAGTAGTTATCTGAATGTCACGCGTTGATAGCTTTTAAAAGTTTTTCACTCAGTGCGGAGTCATCTATTCCATCCAAATGCCACTAATCAATAGTCAACATGAAATGAAAGGAAATGATGGTTGCACCGTTTTTGTTTCCATTTTGGAATCTTGAACTCTTGATATGTACGCCATGTTGGATTTTCTCTTATCTAGTTTCCAGTGTTTTTCCTACGTAAATCAAATGCGTCACGCAACAAGCAAAATTTGCGCGGCAACACTCGAGCAATTTATGAGCATCACTACTAATACTAATTACCGACGAAATCCTAAGACGTTATTACGCGTATTGATTAAAGGAGGATGCCCGTTTTGTTAACAATCAAGAGAGAATTATGTAACCGATGGTTATGCATCAATTATGCATCAATCAATTCAAAGCTTCAAATCCCCCTCCCCCACTGGACACCCTCCGAGAATTTGAACTATAGAAGATCGGTTCGCTGAACCATTCACCTCCTGGGGCCAGAACCATGTTCACATGCTTAACGTAAGGACCAGATTTGATGGTCAATTTGATTATTTTATTGTAAAAGGCAAAATCAGCGACCGTGGCTTTCTACTTATCGACTAAGCTTTAACACTTAGACATTGTGGACCTTTTCTTCTGAGCCATTTGCTCGCCAAGGTGAAGTCTTCGCCTTAAAACACCTCCATATTGAAAGATAAAACACTTGTATTACGCTGGAAAGATTGAAAATTCTGGTTCAAATTCGCCTTAAAACACCTCCATATTGAAAGATAAAACACTTGTATTACGCTGGAGAGATTGAAAATTCCGGTTCAAATTCCCCACCCCCTGGGCACAGACGACAGTCAAATGCTCAGGGAGAGGGGGGGAGGGTGTTGAAGCTTCGTTTTGATCGGCGTAACATTCGATTTCCCTTTTTTATTAGAGGGGGTTTCCATACCCTGGACGACCGCTACTGTGACCATGCTCGTGCGCTTCATTTAATATCTGCTCAGATTCGTAATCACTGATTTCCTCGCTTCGATTTCGTGAAACTTGTTGGACTTGCAGGAAGAAGAATTCTGGTCACCAATAAACAATCAAGGAAGCCTGAAGATACTTCTCAACGTGCTCTCACGTTACCTGAAAAACAGCAAAAGTTAATGTGTACATAGCATGACATGTGCTCTGAAATTCCAGTCCTAAAAAGGCCCCAGTCTCATGTGGCCGCACTAAACCTTTTAAGGCCAAACAGACGAAACAGGTAGCGGTTCTATTTAGAGATACTCGAGTTCATGTTCCCCCTCTTATATGATCAGTAAAAGAGCAGAAAAAAAAACTAAAAAAAAATAAATTTTAAACTGTGAACAAGGAAAATACTGTGATTCAGATGAAATGGGAATTATTTTCAGAAAAAAAAGAAACGTAAATCAATCTATGATAAAACTGTTACTGCAAGAAAGAAAAAAGCAATCTAGAGGTCAGAAACAAAGGGAAAAATTCAACTCGGAACGTATTGGGCGTTATTACAAATTGGACGGCCTGGATTTGGGTGCACGCAGAGTGGCCGAGAGGTCAGAGCTTCAGGGCCTGAAGATACCAAGTTTGAGGCCTAGGTTACTCTTACACAAATCCAACTTTGTTATGAATAAAAGGGGTAAGTTTCTAAAGAAACTGTGGTGCAGCGTCGGTGCGAGAGTATAACGGGGTAATTTTGTATCACCAACTGAGTTGATAACGTAAATTGGCCACCATAACGAGTTTAAAAGCTGACATTTCGAGCGTTAGCCCTTCGTCTTTCGCTCAGACGAAGGGCTAACGCTCGAAAGTTCAATTTTTTCATGCTTCGGATCATTAGCTGTAAAACCTACAGAAGGAAAAACCGCGTAGATACTTCACTTGTTTCGAAATTACTTACTTCTTAAAAGGTGAGAGTTACATCGTCACCAAGTAACACAAATGGAGCCCAATGCTCCCTATCACTGTACAGCTGTGACTCTCGCATCTTCCTCATGGTCTGGTGAAGAGATTCACTTGCACTGAGTTTCTCGCGGATCAAAGACTTGTAGAATATGTTCATGAATGTCTTAGTAGCTCCATCATCGACAGCCCACAATGACATCAGAACTGAACGTGCACCGGATCCAAGAAAAGCGCGAGCAATCCCAACAACTCCTTCGGCTTTGGAAATCTTCCCACAAGCACTATAACAACAGCTGAGTACCACCAGCTTGGCTCTGATACCAACCTGAGCAATGTCATTCATTGTTAGCCAGACGTCTTCTTTCAAAGGAACTCCAACCACAGACCTGTTGGGAGCAAGAGCTATTTCCCCGGCGGTTTCATAACCATGGGCAGCAATGTGCACTAAGCTCACTTCTTGGATTCTCCTCAGGACTTCCTCCTTTGTGGCCTCCTCTCCTATCAAACAGCGCACTCCCACCAACCTTGATACCATCTGCGCTTCTTCTCTGGCTTTAGGCAATGGAGGCAGAGTTTCTACACTTCCATTTATCTCGGAGATCCAGCGGCCAACCGCTGGATCTCCGACGATCAAAGCTCCACTTTGAGAGTGGTAACTGGCTGCCGAGTCGTGAATGAGCTTCAGTGTCGTTAGTGACGGGATGAGGCGGACCCTCACAGTTTCGGAAAGGTACTTTCCATTTTCATCCTTTAACGAGGCAAATGGTGTCAAGAAAAAGTCAGGTTCTGGGGATATGATGATCTCCGGGCTGTCTATGAGATCAAAAATAGGAGCAATCAAGGCAGCGTACAACTTGACCATATAGGAAAGGTTAATGTAAGATTTGCTTCCGATTTGTTTCATTTGCATTTTCACGGAACCTTTGTTTGGTTCTAACTTTTTTTCTCGTGAAGCCAATACATCATTTTCATACAGCGAGGCCAATGAACGATCCTCACATTGCAGGTCATCCAAAGTTGACGAAGAAGTATCCATTCCAGGCTCTTCAGTGGCACTTCTTTCTTTTGATAGCTCCGCTGCCAAGTCTACATTGACCTGTTTGAATTTTACACGTCCTCCTGTGTCGACAAACCACAAGGAGAAAATTTTCATTTTCAACGTTGCTATGAAGAGAAAGTTCTTTTTTTGTTCTTTTAAGAAGCTCTGAAGGGCATTTGGAGTTAACTCATTTTGAATAGGATTCCTGCTGATTCCGTAATTCTTCGAAATAAGATCAACCAGGGCACGACTTCGTCCGACCTCTAGAGTGAAAAGGGCTTGGTCGAAATTCCTCTCGCAAAGAAGAAGCCACGAAAGAGATTTGTAGCAAGAAAGGTTCTGATCATCCAATAAAATCTTGTTTGTTTCATCTCTAAGGGAAGAACGAGTACTTTGGTGGATTTTCATTCCTTCACGGAAGGTTTCTGTCGCCTTCGAAAGGTTTCCCTGAGAGGAATATGCTTGGCCTAAGATATGTAGAACATCGATTTGCGACTGATCTTTGATTCCAATTTCCTTCTTCATTTCAAGCGCTTTGCTCTGATACCAGATTGCTTTCTCGTTCTGACTTTGAGCGAAATATACACAACCGAGGACAATATAACAAGACACTTCTGTTTCTTTTTCACCTATCTCCTTAGCAATTTTCAGTGCTTTTTCAGTATACTCAATGGCTTGTTCATATTTTCCAAGAGAAAAATTCATGGACCCCCTAGAGCTTAATGCTATTATCTCTGCGTGTATGTGTTGGGTTTCTCTACTGATTTTTAGAGCTTCCTCTAGGTAATTGCGTGCTTCCTCAGACTCACATACACTACTGATATTAAAAAGTGTCGTAGCTAAGAACAATTTGTTTCCAGTGCGATCGTGAGAAGTTATAGCCTCTTCTAAATCTGTCTTGGTTTTTTCATATTCACCGAGATAAAGAGGCAGTTGATAGGCATTGCTTAAGCAAATTCCCAGGTGTTCGATATCCCCTATTTCTCTGCACATGTTAATAGCTTTTTTATGATAATCACCTGCTTTCTCGTAATCACCGAGGGATATATAGTGATTTGCAAGGTCACTGAGAACTTCAGCTGTTTTGACACCGGTCTCCCGGTTGATTTTTAGGGCTCTTTCGTGGCATTCGATGGCTTTTTGAAGCTGACCTAGGAGCTTATGAACCTTTCCAATGAAGTAGAGACTCTTTCCCTCTAGCACCTTGTCTTTGACTTCTAAACTAATTACATAGCTTTTTTCATAATATTCCAATGCCTTTTCATAGTCACCACGGGCCTCATAGACTCCACCAATGTTGGTATAGGACGTTCCTTCTACTCTTCTACATCCAAGTCTTCTACGAATTTCGAGTGCTTTTTCATGGAAGTTGAGTGCTTCATCAAGTTTAGACAGATAGTTATGATGCAAAACTCCCAGGTTGTTGAGGCTTACTGCTTTATCTATCTCATTTCCTGCTCTAATGCTAATCTCAAGAGCTTTCTCATAATAGCTTTTAGCTTCCTCACATCTTCCACGATAATGCTTGACCTCACCGATGTTGTTGTACACTCTTGCTTGGAGCTCTTGTCTTATGTCATTTGAGGATATTTCGTGAATACCACTGAGAACCTTTTCATAATGTTCCATGGCTCTTTCATACTGACAAGCAATGTGGAGCGATCTGCCCAAGCGGCAGTGACACCATGCCTCATATGGTTTGGAACCAATTTGACTGAAAAGGGTCAGCGCTTTTTCAAAGCATTTTATTGATTCCTTAACTTGACCGAGGTCATAACGTATCTTTCCCCGTTCGTAAAAGAAGAGTCCTCCCTTTACAACTTTTTCTCTTATCACTCGTTCAATTAGAATCATCACTGGGGAAGTCTTCGTCTTTGAAACAGAATTCCAAAGCGCAAGGCATTCCAAATAAAAGTCAATGGATTCAGTCCAGTGATTTGTGTTGCTTAGGAATACCGCCACAGCATACCCAATGAAGAAAGCTAATTGCGGCGGTATTTTCTCCATCTTTTTGCTTTACCCTAACAAATAAATAAAGAGAAAAACAAAAGCAAAAAATCATTTAGCCGTGTATCCTGTTCTTCTTTCATGGGAGAGGTAAGAATATGGCTTGCATCAAATGTGTAAATCCCGCTTAATTGTTACAAGGAGGAGCAGGCAAAAAATGCAAGCGGAATGTCGAATTCCCCGAGTTGATTGTGATGCATCTACTAATCCGGTATTTTAAGGTCACGGGAGTATGTACTTTTGAATCCCAAGGAAATTCTTGGCGGTTCATCGGTCGTTGGCTCGTGGTATTATTATACTTCAGGAACCCATCTGTTTAAATCGATAACGCCGTCCCAACAGTGGGTGCTTATTTGCAATGGGGCAAACTAAGTATGTCCCTCTTTCCCAAACTAATCAGCAAATGGTAATCACCGACGCTCGTCAAACATGATCCTTGCAATGACCCACGTGATCAACGAACTTTTGGTAAGTAATTTTAAGCTTAATGATCCCTCTCAATCATCAGAGTCAGGCAAAGATCTGCGGCTAATATTCTTGTGGGAAACTTTGATTTTTCCTCTTTCTCACGCTAGCGACCAAACGAGGAGCTTCTCTGTTCATTTTATTTTTGTCCTCCGGTCAAAATACCTCATCTTCTCATAAATTTGGAAAGCACTTTGATGGAAGGGAATTCAAAACCGAGTTTGTTTCTATCCTGGATCTTTCAAGCAACCTGCCTTTCAAGCAACCTGCCCCAGATGATTACCCTACTTTTCTGTCCCCATACTTTTTTGAGCTCTTAAGGGCCGGGTCGCACTAAAACTTTTTTTTTCTCTTTTAGGTGAAAAATCTGTCAACAAAGTAGCGTAAAATGAGTGCGACCCCCAATTTGAAAAATTGCCAAATTTTTGCGGATCACCAAATTCTCGCCAAACTGTTGTCCTGCCTGGGAGGCGAGTTTGACTAATGGTCCTGGGTCGTGGGTACAAGTAGTGGGTCGTGGGCGTGGGTGTGGGTGTGGGTGTGGGTGTGGGTGTAGGTGTGGGTGTGGGTGTGGGTGTAGCTGTAAGTGTAGGTGTGGGTGTAGCTGTAAGTGTAGGTGTGGGTGTAGGTGTGAGTGTAGGTGTGGGTGTAGGTGTGGGTGTAGGTGTGGGTGTGGGTGTGGGTGTTGGTGTAGGTGTGGGTGTAGGGGTGGGTGTGGGTGTGGGTGTGGGTGTAGGTGTGGGTGTAGGTGTGGGTATAAGTCGTGTCGGTAATAGTTAACAATTAATGGTTGATAGTTATGTTTAATAATGATAATATAAATAGTACTACTACTAATAATTAATTATTGTTAAGTATAGATTTTTTGGTAAAAATTAGTTTAATAAATTATGTATTACTTATATGTAGGTGAATCAATGAAATAGTAGTCTTACCGAGCTGATGAGATGATATTGGAATAAACAATAATATTTTACAGTTGACAGGAGCCAGGAGCCAGGAGCCAGGAGCCAGGAGCCAGGAGCCAGGAGCCAGGAGCCTATTACTGGTTCCTGACAGTTGGAGAAGGGTTGTTTAATTTGTATACATTATGTCATGTTAATTAAGTCAACTTAGACCATAATTGAGGGGGGGTCCTAGATCACTTTTCACGGCCACTCACGTTTCACGCAATATGAAATGGTCATTTCATGATACGAAGATAAAAGGTGTTTAATTACCTGTTGGAATAAAGAGACCTAGGGCCTAGAATGATGATTAGCTAATCACAGTCATGTTTCTGCACGTGATCTTGTTTTGAGACGCTTACTGGATAGTTTTTTTGAAGGAAGAGGAACAATAACGGTTCAAGTCACGTTTCGCAAAAACAAAAACCAGTCGTCTCGCAATTTCCAGAAAAAAAGGCGATTCACTGTTCACGGCTATGTAACTAAGTCACGTTTCACGAAAAAAAAAACCGTTCCCCTCTACAATAGCAATAATTAATTATTAGTAGAAGTACTATTAATAATATTATTGATAAATATGAACTATAACCATTAATTGTTAACTATTGCGGACACGACTTGTACCCACACCCACAACCCACGACTTGTTCCAGGAGCCCATACTTTGAGCGTCCAACTCCCATACTGACCTAGATCGACCTGATGTCACGGCATTTTCACGACCGGTTTATTTTTAGACTATCTTTTCGCGGGAAATAGGCTAATCGTATTGTTATACTTTAGTAACCCATCTATTTAACCCTTTAACTCCCAGGAATGACCAAGACAGAATTTCTCCTAACAATATCAATAAAATATCAAGCAGACAAGTGATGAGAATAGAGAAAAATATCAATTAGGGGATTATTAGTTGATCCAAAACCAAATTCTTCTAGCTAACATCATGAGAATTATATGGCAGACAGTAAGGAGAATTATATGGCAGACAGTAAGGAGAATTATAAATTAGATCTTGGGAGTAAAAGGGTTTGGGGCAAAGTAAAAGCCGTCCTTCTTTCCCAAAGTAATCAGCAAATAGTACTCAGCGACGTTCGTCAAACATGAACCTGACAATGACCCACGCGATCAACGAACTTTTGGTTAGTGATTTTAAGCTTGATGATCCCTCTCAATCATCGGAGTCAGGCAAAGATCTGCGGCTAATATTCTCATGGAGAACTTAGATTTTTCCTTTTTCTCACACTCGCGACCAAACGAGTAACTTCTCTGTTTCTTTAAACAGTTTTGTTTATTAATTTTATTTTTGTCCTCAGGTCAAGAGACCTATCTTCTCATGAATTTGGAAAGCACCCTGATGGAAGGGAATTCAAAACCGAGTTTTGTTTCCATCGTGGATCAGTGCCAACTGCCCTCCAAACTTCCCCCAGACGGTTGCCTTTCTTTTCCGTCCCCATATTTTTTAGGCCCCTAAGGCCCTGGTCGTGCTAAGGCTTTTTTTATTTTTTTGTTTAGGTGAAAAATCTGTCAACAAGTAGCGTAAAATGAGTGCGACCCCCAACTTGAAAACCTTGCCAAATTATTGCAGATCACCAAATTACCAAACTTCAAGGACTCGATGTCCTGCCTGGGAGGCCACCGAATTTTGGAAAAACAAAAAATCATGTTTTTTTAACCGCTTAGTTGTTATGTTGTGCAAGACGTGTCGGTATAAACTTTCAGTGGGAAAAATATTTAGTACGCTAGTCTAGTTTGGCGCGCAATGGCAGGACTTTCCTTGTCCATTTGACCCTTTCTCTTTCGGAGGAAACGAGGCATTTGGGCACCGCTTCTATTCAAATGCTTGTGACTTGTAGCAATTTGGAAAACGGATAACTTCAACGTAAAATTTTAGCTAGCCCTCTTTCCATCGCAATTATCGAAGCCAGAACAAATAGCGCAAACGTCAACCAAAACGCAAAAGATCAGCGCAAAACATGTCCGTTCCTGCGTTGTACTGATTCAACGAGATGGGTTTGTGATTGACTTATGAATCAATCAGCGAAGGTTTGGTCAGAGAACACTAGCTTGATGCGACCGCCGCCAAAATTTGGAAAATGCTGAAAGTTTGCCAAGTTTTGACGCGTGAAAAATTAGAAATATATTTGAATTCGCTCTTATACGACCCGGCCCCATTTAACAGGCTCGATTTCCACCGTTTTCACGTGTCCGGTCTTCGATCTTCCAGAGGAGGAACCTTTGGGGCTGAACGCAGGCTCATTTCCCCAACAGTGGCTGGTAATCGAACCTAATTTTAAAGGTCATCCATTTTTCATGAGATCTGACAGAAAAGTCTTATTTCTATTAAAATTTTGACGTCTGATTTATTAACGGAAACACGCACAGACCCAAAACTGAGGCAGATTGTTGACTGTTCAATATTCTCCAAAACCTTAATATCTTGAATTTAGGCTTTTAGTGACTTAGATCTTCGTTTTTACCATGGCGTGGCAGTGAAATTTAAGAGCCTCCATCAGACTCGAGTCATCCGGAGAAGTCGATGAAAAGTTCTTCACGAGGTCAGTATAATGAAGAATGAAAACTGCCAACTGCACACCGGTCTGGTACCAAAACAGGTTAATCCTTTAGCCCCTAAGAGTGATAAGCATCTAATTTCTCCTTACTATGTCAGCCCTGAATCAAACGTGAAAGTCATGAGGTAAGAGAAGATGATTACCAACTTGAGCAGCTCTTGATTGTTAAACAAATTCTCCTTGTTGGCCGCTTTGGGAGTGTATAGAGAACAGTATGGAGAATATTTATACTGATATTAGGGTGTAAAGGGTTAACACCGCCCAGACAGAGAAAAAAGACACTTTCTTTTAATGGATCTTCAATGAGAGGAATGTTCCTCGCTCATTTCTGTAAACGAGTTTTTTTTAAGCGAACTGATATGAATACACTCACTTACAAACATCGTTTCTTGTCTTCAAAGGCATTTACAAATGCTTCCACTTCGATCGCAAGTTAGTGGTACAAGTAAAGACCCGTTGATATATGATACCGAGACAAATATATGGTTCTGGACCACATGCAAACACAAATCAGTTTAGTAATTCAGTTTTTTTCTTGGTACTTCAGCAATAAACCAATCGAAGTTGGCTTTTTAAGTTTTTTTAAAGTGCAACCCAACTCTTTCTCTCATTCAAACGTAATTTACCAACAACCTCCACAATATATTCACTAGTGAAAGTCAACTCACCTTATCAAAGATGCCACTCTTGCCAATTAAACTTCTCAGACTATAACACTCAGAATCAGTCAAGCAGCTTTACATAAAATAAAGACGTTTTCAGCCATTTCGACGCTTTGTTACGATATGGAAGCCTTTGGTTGATGGTGATAGAGGAATTGGTAGTGTTGCGAATTATCGTTATGGAAGATGAAACCAAGTCATGTGAACGGAAACTGTCTGACATCATTTCATCTGTGATTAGCGTGACCTCTGGAAATCCTGATTATGGTAATCAGCAATAACTTTGAATTACTTGTAAAGGTCACGCCAACCACGGAAGTTTTGATAGTGATCTCTCCGATATAATGATCGAAAGC